CCATTTAAGAACTGTCATTCATTCATTGGTTTATCTTGCTGAGTGCTAGCAATATGCTTCTTAAGATATGTATGTTCTGTTAGCATGAGCAGGTTTGATTATTAATCTTCTCATCCTTTTTTATCTTTATCTCTTCTATCTAAGCAGATATTCCTGTATCTGAAGCAAGTATTCTCATCTTACATTTTGTACATTTTATAGCTTCTTTACCACGCAAAAAATTAAAGCATCTCTACTAGTTCATTTCTGCTGTCCTTTTTCTTGCTGTACTGAAGTGTAAAGATGAAGCTATGGACCAATAGCACTCTGAAATTATTTAAAGTGTTATTTAAAAGCAAAGGTTTCACCAGTCAAGCTAAGTCGAGTTAACATTTAAAAATCAATGATGCCAATTTGCATGTTACGTTTTTGGTTTCATGCTGATTGGGTTGTCCCTACCAAAGCGGTTGCTTATTTTTCTTTTTGTTGTCACATGCTTGGGCATTGATTTGAAAGGCATATGTAACAAACAAAAGGATCTCCAGAAAACCCTTTTTTATTAGGGCAGGAAAGAAAGTTAGAAATACAGTAGAAATACAGTACTGCAGAAATAATAGTTTTTCTCTCACCCATTTTCTATTCTTGATTGCCCCTCCCTCCCTAATAATGCTTAGTTAGGTGGCGAATGTCACAGTAGCTTCCTTAGTATAGATCAGTCTCTTTTGCATTTCCTATACTGCCATTTTTTCCCCCCATGCTTGTAAGAAAAACTGTGACCTTGTCCAGCATAGGACTTATTCTTTACAAACTTTCTCAGCATTTATTATGTCCTTTGAATTGTTCTGCTGCTCAGATGTTTAGAGTTCTCTTGCATCTTGTGCCATTGAATTTTATATGTGGTTTAGTAGAATTTCACTGCTCACATTCCATTAGCATTATTTTCTCCTCTTCTGACGTTTTTCTTGCTTCTGGAATGGGGCATGAACTCAGAGACTTCACCTTCAGCAGGTTTGTATTTGTGGAGCTCCCATCCACAGAGTTCTCTGGCTCGAATTCATTTTTCATTATGTATTCAACTCATCCTACCAGGAAATGTGAGCAATATTTGTAGGGAAGGTTCAGTAGTGACTTGGTTTAGGGACATTCCTTCCCGATACTTAATCTGGTATTTCTATAGCCATGAATGTCATTGCAACAGAAGTTTCTCTAATATCCGATTCAGTATCTCTTTCTACCCACACTGCTTGAGAGAGAGCCAAAAAGTGAATCCTAAGTATGCCAATCTCTGTTTTGCATCCAAAAAGAAAAGCACCAACTTTGGACTTCTGCAGACCTGAAGAATGAGTGTTGATTGTAGGCATTTAATCTGTGAAAGTACACTGGAACTGGAGCAAGTTGGAATTTTGGCCTTTGTCCTTTTTTCTTCTCAGGCTTTTATACATAAGTAGTGAGGACCTGTGTCAATAGTTACTAGTCTGGTACCAGGAGTTGTTAATGGCATTTTTGACTCAGAACTGCTTAAAGATTCCTTAACCTATTAAAGAAACTTTTTACTCAAAAACCAGTACTATGGGAGTAGAGTTTATTCATTTTAGTATACAATCATGTAACTAGTGCTTTCAGATCAGTTCTCTGAAGTTTTTTGGCATTTCAGTGATATTAAGCTAGCAGGTAGTTGGCTGAAAAGAAAAATATTAAATTATTACTGGTTTTGCTATTTCTCTGCAAATCTTTGACTATAGACTTGTGATGAGAAAATAACAGACTAATTCATTATATATACTTATTAACTGAATTTTTTCTCAGCTGCTATAATCATAGCTACAAAAAGGTTGCCCATCAATCTTTACTTGGGAGAGCCAACTGGAAAACATTGCTAAATTATAAACAAAAACTACTTTCCATTCATTTATATACATTCATTCTTTTATATACAAGAGAATATGAAAGTAAAATCTTTTGTCCACAGTCAAATAAGCATTTTAGCAGTGATTTTTATTTGGTTACCTTGAAAATTACTTAACTATGTTAGGAAGTGGATAATTTCAGTAAAACATGAACATTTGAAAGGAAACATAGTGATTTGGGATTGATTTTAAAATTGATCAGAGAATGAGCCTAGGACTTTCTAGAACATGACCTTTAAATACTGTTCTGGTACTTATATGCCATATATTAAGGTTTTTTTGGAAGTAGAAAGTAGTGTCACTCTAGCGTGCAGCATGAGAACTTGGGACAAATATGCAACAGTATATTTGGCAGCTAAAATTTTTATTTAATTTCCTATAAAAAGGCCATTGAATGAAACTGTGGATACATTGAAGATGATGGGAATAGTCCTAATGACTTTTAAGACAGTTTCAAACCATGCATCTCAAGTTGCTTGATTCGATATTATTTCAAAATTTTGTCTACAAAGATAATTGTTCCCTGTTCTACCTCTACTGATGTTGTATGATCTGTATTTGATTTAAATGAGGATAACTATATGCTTTATATCATTACACTAGAGTAAGTTTATCAAAGCAGTTTTATGTTTAGGAATTACTTTGTTTGATTTCCCAACTGAATTTACATTAAGTGTCTTGAAATACCTTGGCTTGTGAATAGTATTGCACGTTGAGATAATAAAGCTTCAAATGTGTACTACATCATGAACTTTAATATGCCTTTCATACTCTATTATACAATTGTCAATAAATTCAATATGGCACAGGGCTCCAAATGTTGCATTTTCATTCCTTACTGTCTAAAAGAAATCAATATCTATGTACATAGAAGAACAGGGAGAAATTCTTTAACAGTTTTATTGAAGAAATTAATCTATGTTTTTGCAGTCCTTAAAAATTTCAATTACAGTGTACTGGATTCCTTAATTAGTTAAATATGGGTTACAATTTAACAGGTAATATTGAACTTGCATGATTCACCAAATCACATGTGCAAAGATAACTGCTTAGTTAAATTAAGATTTCCATATTAAATAACTTGGTTAAAAATAGTTTAAGCTTTTCTGTGATCCCCACCCCCCCATAGAGAAGCTGAAACGTGAATCTTGGGAATGTATACAAAATATCAAACAATGTGCTTGTTGAAGCAAGAATGGGCAGGGAGAGAGGTTAGAGCTGGGTGAATAAAGAGTGTTTAGTGTAGTATTTACTACATTAAATGAATTTCATTGAAATTATGCAAAATACTTGCATTTTATATTTCCCTTCATTTTCCTTCAGAGGTGTACTGAATTGTTAAAACAGATGGTCCAGTAGGTGTTTAATTATCTTTATCCTGGCTTTATTTTCAAAGTGAAAAACAAATCTGAATATTTCTTGCAGACTTATTGTAGTGGTTCCATCATTTCACTCTCTGAATTTTTGTTACCAAAAAGCAGTTGAATTTTTGTTTACATACGCATTTGTAATTCACACAATAGTCTGAATCTCCTGTATTCTTAGATGTGCTAATTTTGGAATTACAGTATTCATTTTTTGTCGTCATCATGAAACATTATTAAGTACAATACTAATAAAAAATACGCTTGTTATTCAATGGAATCCAATATTATGAATATATGAATATTTTCTACAGTGAAATATTGTAATTTGGCAGAAGTTGCATGGTATCTACATGGTATATTGTATTTTGTTGCAAGACAGTAGCCTCCTATAAATTTGAGAAACTATCTGTAGAGTTAAAAGGACCTCTTTAAAGACCAAACCAAAGGAAGGCTGCACAAACTGCTTTTGTGGGAGACGGCCTTCACTTGACATCACTTCATCTCTGAAATACCATGTGTCCTTAGGAAAATTTGTTTTTTCTAAGGACTTGGCAAATCTAGAGTAGAAGGACCATGTTAATGTATCAGTCATCAGGAAAAGCTACATTTCAGGGTTGGAATTGGCCACATCAAAATCCAAATTTCATTTTCTCCTAGTATTCACAAAAATACAGTTGTTACTGCCCAGTCTTCGTGTGATGCTTGTTGGTGTTGCTTTTTTACATAAGTATTCTCCTGATACTTGCCTTACAACTTGCTAAATTACTGGGTTTTTTTGGAGAAGCAAGGCAGTGCAGTGTCATCAGTGCTATTCCAGCTTGATTTGTGATGCAAAATTCTGAGATTATTAACACACGTGAGAATGAATGAGCTACAGATTCTACAGAAGGAGCTAAGGAAAAGGTCACTCTGGATCCTGAGTTTTAATGCTTGGTTTATAGTTTCTGACTTGCACTATTTCAGTGTTCTTTGAAACTGTGGGTTCATTTCTGTAGAGGAAAGGTTATTCCCTATTAATGAATGAAATCTCAGCTTTCTGTAAGTATATTTCACTGCTACATAAAATTTTCCTAGAGAACATGAATATTTAGCATGTAATTGGTAATATACTCATGAAATAATTGAGTGGCAAACAAAAACAGAATCACAAAAACTACAGCTGTGTTAAATTATACTTAATGTCCTATACAAGTAGAAAGAATGATCTGTGTTTATTTTCCAAACAATAAAATTTCTAGTTTAGTTTTCAATGTAATTATTTTTAGAAAGTAAATTAAGTTTCATACTTTGGATAAAATTATGTTTTGCAATTCTGATGCTACAAAGCTAATTTACAAAGTTGAAAAACTGTGTTGAGTGCATAGAAATCAATTTTATAGTGGTATTGAATTATTTTTTTCTTTGGTCACTAGCTAGTAGAATATGCTGGAAACCATGGTAACAAAAAGCGCTACCATGGTTGCCCCAGAGTCATGTTAAAATGAGCAAGCTATGTTTGTCTTGATAAATATAATAAAAAGAGCGAAAAAGAGACGGAGTGAGGAGAAAGAATAAGATTAATGACCTGTACCACACAAACAACAAATGTGCAGTCAGAGATGTATCTATGTATAAGTAATCCTGGAATTTCTGGTACCATTGCATCATGAATGTGAAGGTGCTGAGCAGAAGCTATAAAGAGTAAAGGAGATATGCTAATTCAATAGTTTGTCTTTACATTATTTCTTTCCATATCTGTATTTTGCAGGTTTATATTAGGATAAAGGATGATGAATGGAATGTTTATCGAAGATACGCGGAGTTCAGAAGCTTGCATCATAAATTACAGAATAAATACCAGCAAGTGAGGACTTTTAACTTTCCACCAAAAAAGGCCATTGGAAACAAGGTACTTAAAAGAACTCGTAGTATCAGTAAGAGTTGGGTAAAAAAACCTTTGCTATCCACACACACAGAGAAGAGGTGACTATCACACACCTGCTGGGCAGTACCTGCTATTTTTATACAGACTTTGCCATATTCAGCTGCAGATTCACTGATAATGTAGCTAATGCATTGATTTTTCCACTCACTGAAAAGAAAGCTGATTTTATTGAATGAAATATTGATGATATACACAGTAGAGAAATGAACAAAACTCCCAAAACTGTACTGGACAGCTTTCTATGTAAAATATAGTCTCTACTCCATTTGTTTCAATAAATGCCAGCAATTAATGCTGGTCAGTTATTTATTAACTATTTCTGTAAATTTTAGAAAGTATCAGTCTAAATTCCTTACATTTTCTGTGCTGTGGAGCAATTGTTTTAAGTTCTTTGAACCAGCTTTTAAAGGCATTTCGGTGCTTAATTCTTATAATCCGTGTGTTTGTGGTTTAGTTCTCCCATTTTAAAATGGGCATTTCTGTGTTTTCCTATCATATGGGGATTTTGAAATAAATACAGTAAATATTGTAATATGTATGTAGTAAATATGTAGTATCATGTAGTTTAATCCTTAGTCACCAAAACTTCGAAATGTTCTAGAGCTTAGATACATGTTGCAAATTACATCAAAAATCCAGTAAGGATTGAGAAGTAATCGAAGTATTTTTACTTTGCAGTGTAGGAATTCTCTGAAAAATTTATTTAACTATCACAAGTAAAATATTTGAGATATAAATCATGCTTATGGTAAAAAATGTCTGTGCTAAACTGGGTGCTTAAATCAGCATTCCTAATATTAACCAAATCTGTTAATTTTTATATGAGATTTTCCTTTTTTTTTTACCTTGCTGTCACTGAGTTCTTGAATCAAATATCTAAGAAGCACCAACTGCAGTGACCAGTGTAATTGTCAAAAGAAAGCTGAAATAATGACTAAAATACTCAAAGATGTTAATGATATTTCATTTGGCCTAAGACCACATTAATAGATATATCACTAAAATGCCAGAATCATGCTAATTATATCTGTTGCAACCTTGATAGAAAAATCATATGGAGTAATATAATATTTCAAAAACAAATAGAAAAAATAGTAATTCCTTAGTGGCATTAAGATGTCAGCAAATGTGCATCACAAATGTTTAAAGATAGTAACTCCAGTTTGACTTCAGATGATTTCCCAAGTGTTTTCCCTAAAAATGAGTAGGTAAGTTTGGCACATGTGATATGGAATTAGTAGTAATGCATATAATCTGGAATAAGTGGTGGTGATACAAATAGCTATCCAATTCATCAATAAAATCTGTAGGTCTTTTTGCTTGGCATAAAGTCCAGAGTTAATGTAGTTGTTCATTGCCTCCTAACCTAGCAAATGAAAGTATTTATGGGAGCTTTTCTGCTTTTTTTCATATATTAGAAGATAATGCATTTTTCATTTTGAGTGGATAGTTTTGAAATAGAAACAATGTATTTTCTTCTGTGTTACATAACTAATTCTCCTTTTTTGAAGTGATGGAATATCAGCCACTTCAATAAATTGCAATAGCCTTCTTTTAAGCTTTTTTTTGGTAGTCTCTCATCCTTAATTGCTTTAAATACTAACTGAATTACAACTTCAGTTGCACAATTGATGCATACAAAGTTATCAGTTGCTCAACTCATTAAAATTTTTGCATCACTTATTCTTTCAGTGCGTTAGCTTAGGGCCAAAATTCTACCTTAATCATGCATAAACCCACAATCACCTTCTGTCATGTCAGAGCTCAGAGAAGGTATCTTTTCATTACAGTAAGAAATGGGTGCCATCCATTGCACTCCTGAAAGACACTGATGATGAGACATAAGTCAGTTGTGTAATTGGAATTGATTAGTGATTATACTTATGTCCACCTGCTGTAAGTAGCTTGCAAGTTGCAAAGTGGCACTTTCATGTCAGCTTTGCAACAGTTTGCCTGAGCTTATTTCAACAGAACATTGTGTAGGTAAATTTTTATCCTTTTAGTGGTATTATTTTCTCTACCATGTCATAGTATGTATTCCATTTAGAAATACTGCATGGTTTTGTGTGGTACAGTGGATCATGCTTCAGGAACAATTACCCTGTAGATCCAGCAGAAATAGGACCCCCTTGTAAGATGCTGCACCGTGTGCCTGCCTGAGATGGCCCTCCTTTCCATGAGAGAGCAAGTTGAAGTAATTCAAAAGTATAACATTTCAGTGTAAAATTAATTCATTCACATGCGAATGTCTATCTTGGAATTCTGTAGAACTTTCAGTTTAGGGTGAGGGATTTGTGCAGGATGTTACACATGCAAATGTTTGATAATAAGCATTAGAAGAGATATTTAGTGGCTACCAAAGCATGTTCTCTTTTAGATATGCTGTTAGATTTCAATACTTCTTTTTTTCTCTCTAATATTAGTTATGCTGTTTTTAATAGAGTTGCCACTATCTTCCTGTTTTTAGATTAATCAATATGATCTTAAATCAATGCATAAAGAGCAGTTTTCAGTAGGTAAATTCTGGTAACAAAACTATCTCTGTTCAGTTTACATCAATCTGAGGTTTTTTGTGTACTTTACAAATCCTCAGTGTTATTAGATGCCCAAATAATGTATTGGTAAAACATAGTCCTCCGTGTGAAAATGGCTAAAAATTATTATCTTACACTTTTTGGAAAATGGTGTTGTGTGCTTTTATATCCTTCAGGTCTGTACCCGAATAATGTTATTTATTGCATATCTTCAATACACTGGTTTGTGTACTGTGAGGCTAATGAAGGTGATATACTTATCCTAAATGTTAGTGGCGTTGAAAGAGGGTTTTGCTGTAATCAATACCTCCCTTGATACCAGTGCTAAATTTCGTGTTCAGTTCTATGTCTGATTGAGGGAACCTCCAAGACCGCAAGAGGACACCATCTTCTGCAGAATGAGCTAAAACTATTACTGCAGAGTCATAAAATACTATCCACTGTTTTGCTATGCAAAATATTGGAGCTCTGAGGAGGGAACATGACTAGAAGAGAGTAACATAGAATCTTGCATAGTTTTCCTGCTTACTGCAATAGAACTCAGGGAGATCAAGTTCAAATGCAAAGTTGCAGAGTTTGACACAGGGAAAATTCAAAAAGAAAGAATTTCAGCAGAATGGGAATTCTAAAAAGCTGAAAAAAATCAAATATTTATTATTGCATATATATTGTCATAGAGAAGCAGTGAAATCTGGGAATATTTAACAATTGTAAAAGAACAGTTTAAGAATCAAATATTTCTGTTAATTCTAATTATTATGTTTTTAATGTATTTTTGCCTTTCACTTGTTTGCTTTAAGTTGGGAAAATTTATTTTAACAGTTCCTGTTCATGATCTTTCAAATTAGGTGTGTAGGATTAGAAACTAGCTTTAATGCTTGAGGAAAAATAAATTTAATATACAGAAAACCAATTAGTAGAAAATGAACAGAGAAGAGGAATGAATACTGTTTGGACAAGTACCTTTTTTTTCGGTTACAAAGATGACTGTATTTGCCTTTCAGGTTGGTAACCTTATTTTGGGTGTATCAGTTTAATCATTTGAATATAGTAAGTTAGAACTAATGTAAAGCCATGAAAAGAATAATTTGATTTATAAGTGTTGCTTTGAAACAAGTCAGAACAGATAATTTAATTACTGAAGGAAAATATAACAATAATGCTTGCAAGACTCCCTGTATTAAGTTTCACATATACTAGTCCCCATGCTGTATATTTGCTACTGATGATCTTTCAGTGCTGGTAGCAAGTAGTTGTCAAAATTTCTATAAGTAGTCCTTGCAAGAGTAAGTGTTCTTCCTTCAGTTTATCAATGTTTTGCTTGAGTGAAAACAAGAAACGTATTTGTTCTCTTTTGTGTATAAGAGAAATGTCATATACTCATCGTATATTTTTGTGCTTCTTTTTTAAGCTGCAGATCATTTCATTTAAAACTTACAGATTTGACCTGTATTTTTAACATTTGAAATGTTTGGTTTTGTAATCTTAAAACATGCTCCCTATGTATCAGCCTGGTTTGTTTTTTGCGAAGTATTTTATACCAAGATTTGTAATTTCAAACCATGGTTTCTTGCATGAAATAGATTTTTGTCGTTTAGCTACTCTTCAGGTACTTTGGATCTTTTGAATTCATACCTTCATTAATTCAGTGATTGCCTAAATTTAAGCCTAAGCTTAAGATGATAGTCTACCCGTCAGGTTCCTAATGTCCAAAGCGTAGAGTGTGCTGTTATGTGAAGCTCATAAAGAGAAGCTTCATACGATGAGAATACTTGAATACAAAGGGATCCCTGAATGCTTTTGCATAGAAATATAGCTCTTTTTTTTTTTTTTTTTTCATTTAAGATGAGCCCTTACATTTACCTTCTGAACCTTTGTTGGTGCTGTCTTTCTGTCTCAGTTGTTAGAATGTTGCTTTCAGACTAATGGTTAAGATATAATATGTGAATATTTACTGTTACTCTGATTTTTCGAATATTGCAATGTCCTTAAAATCTCAGTTGCTACTTCTGCATTTGGCAGATTATAAGGCTTAAAGAATGCATTTTAGTAGCTGAGTAAACATCTAATTAAGTATCCTCTTGCAAGGGTATTGTCACAGTAGAGGACATATCAAAATAGAAATGGTTCTTTGCTTCCACCGAAGATGTGAATTCAGTGATTGCCTAAGTGTGTAGAAATTGAATCAGGTAGCTTTCCACTGACTGCTGACTTGACTGCATGATATCCTTTGCTTTCCTTTAAAACATTGGATACCCCGTATAGAAAGGATACGCAGCACTTTTCTGAGATTAGAAGAGAGTGACTTTGCCGTGACTCCTCAAGTCCGTAAGAGGAACAGTACAGAAATCTAAAATAAGTTTTCTGTCTAGGAGAAAATGTTGAAAGCATCATCATTCATCATTTTTAGCCCATGCCACTGAAGTCTGT